AAGGATTGGTTTACTAAAAAATCCCAATGCATCTGGGCAGTTAATACCTGTTTGTGAACGAAAGGATAGTTTTGGCGATGTGATCTGATATGATTGCCCTTACAATCACTGTGTGTGTCATGTTACCTTCGCGTAACTAATCCTAGCGTTCGTTGCCATGACAACAACGAAAAATATATATCTGACTTTGAGTGTTGTTTTTTTATATATTGTTTTCATTGCCGAGAAATTTAACTTTTAAGTTCTGTCCTACTGTTGCCTTGCCCACGACCGAACACTTGGTTGTAGCAAATTGTATCCTCGTACAAATCTTTGAGTCAGAATCACGGACATATCTTATTCCAATTTGCTTAAGTGTGTGCCTAAAGTTAGTATTTTATTTTTGAGTGCCATTACTGGATTGACACGCACAAGACACACATTCAGTACTAGCCTAAATTGTTATTTACATCCGACCATAGCTTCATGATCCGACTCTCTTGTCTGTATGTCTGTACAAACTGGTCACACCTGCACTCTAGTTTGGTGGGAAAAATCTGTCCTACCATTACCATGGCAACACCCGACTAAATGTGTTTTTAACGGAGTGAATCGCCAATCATCCTACCAGGTTTTATCAATTGAAAGTCCCTTCCTCTGGGGCCCTTGGACCCTGGCCCCTAGTTGTGTTCCTAAAGGTTTGCCAGGAAATTGTACATGTGGTAGTTTATCACCATCATCTTTGTATTGCATTACACCGATGAATAGCCTTACCACTAATAACCACAGGAAAATCTAGCGGTCCAATCATATCATGTCCACGTAATAAGTCTTTTAAAATATTTCAGTCCATCTATCCCACACTATCCAGAGTGTTGTACGTACATTATTGTAACTGACATATAATCAAGCAGGCAAAATTATCTGACAACGATGTGGTTATAAATTTGCTATTATGTCTGTACATGGGACATACAGACACTCAACCTCAGATGTTCATCTGCAGGCCCGTAGCTAGCACTTTTGAATAGGGGGTTCGAAAACAACAATAAATGATATATTTGATGTGAAACGTGTGAATTTTATAATATTCAAAAGGTTTGTTTGAGCTCTGTTACATACATTTTTAGCTCCGCTGTCGACTTTGTCGAGCGGAGTTTATCATATGAGTGATTGTCCGTCGTCGTCCGTCGTCGTCCGTCGTCCGTGTCAATGTTTTACTTTTTCGACTTCTTCCTGAAAACTACAAGCCTGAACGCTTTGATACTTGGTGTATATGTACCTTGGGTAGACCTCTCTTAGGTTTGTTCATTTCATGTTCATATCTTCAATTCTCTGATTTTGGTGAAAATTTTTGTCATTTTTGGTAAAAAGTTATATTTTCGACTTCTTGTTAAAAACCGCAAGTGCAATTGCTTTGATATTACATATATAGGTACTACATGTGGACCTCTCTCAGATTTGTTCATTTTGTAATGATATCTTTAATTTTCTAATTTTGGTGAATATTTTTGTAATTTTTGGTAAAAAGTGATATTTTCGACT